CCCCAGTTCAATTTTAACACTACTACTGGGGTCTCATATACTCTCCCATAATTGATACCTGTTCTGGATCTACTATCAAAAAATCTATCAATCCCTCAGTAGAGTTTTCATCCGTGTCCACTGAAGCCCACTCGAAAGAGTACGTTCTATTCATAGACTCTTTCAAAGATAATTCATCTTAGTACAACGGTGTAGACGTTTACTCATCCACCTCAAACACAATTCTGCAATACAAAGTCGCATCATACGCATTTATATTTACATCTGAGGCACTAGAAATATTCTTGGTAATTAATCACCTAAAAAACAACAAAATCACCAAAGGCACAATCTTTACTGATTCACTAAGCGTCTTAGAATGCATTAAAAAATTTTCGCCTATAAAATCCAAACATACTTCCCACTTGATTCTAGACTTAAAAAAACTTCTCCACGAAGGTCACAAATCCAACTGACAAATTAGGTTTGTTTGGATTCCTTCCCACCTTAACATTAAAGGCAATATAATCGCCGACTCCTTAGCCAAAGAGGCACTAATATTACATGCCTATTTCACTACTCAGACTTCAACGAAATCATTAACACAAACTTTCAACATCTAACAATGAATTTCTTATTAACTCATGCCTGAACCAAAGGTATCCACTATTTTAATAATTTCTTCAACCCACTCTTGAAACCATGGTTTCCCAAAATAAACCTACAAAGATTTTGCACGACGTCCATCTCCAGAATTAGAGCCAACCACTACAATCTGGCAGCCAGCCTTCACAGGAAAAATTAAATTGACTCTCCCAACTGCCCATGTGGCCTTGACGTTCAAGATATCCAACACATTCTATAGTACTGCCCAGACTAGGGCGCACACAGGCGTTCATTACTTATGAAACTCTCCAAGTATTTTGACAAAACAAACTCAAACATGATTAAAAATCCTACCATTCTTTCTAAAGACTCCACACTTCCACCAGCCATATTCAGTTCCAAATTCCTAAAAAAAGGGTAACATCCTTCTCTAAAGACAATACACCTTTTTATTAAAATTCTCGTTTCCTCTTACATCCCTTATTTCCTTTAACAAAATAGGACTTACTTCAGCAAGCTGTAAACCAACTTCTTGAAACAGCTTTAGTTTTATTTCACATATGAAATGTGGCATATTGAAGTCATGTGGGTACCCATGGTTAATGAAATTCGTGTGTCCTATACATGTTCAATACTGTGCATTCATTTAAAGTATATAACATACTTACATCCAAGCTTATAAGAACGAAGATAAGGCATTGTTTCAAATGAAAAATGTGATGGTGGTTATAAAACTTTTAATGTAATCTAAAATTATCTTGACAGTAGATTTGTCGGTCTAATGGAATTACTATGGCGCTTCCAAGAATATCTCACTTATGGCAAATTAAGTAAGAAAGGTTTAAATTAGGCTTAGCATCTTAAAAATGAATAAAAATAGTATTTACAAAACACAAATTAAAAACTGTAGTAGAAAAATAGTAAACACTAATTTCAGCTTTGTTTGAAGAAGATAAAGGAAATATTTCTGTAAAATTGTTCAAATAAGTCAACATTTAAGAGTGCAACTTTTTAGCAATTACATTTATTTTTAGCAAAATATAAAAAAAAATACAAAAAGTAATGGGATTAGAAAATTAAATATTGAATATTTGTTATGGAAGTTTCTCTTAAATACTAAAAACGAGTTTATCTAAAACTAATACGAAATTTTTTCTATCGTTTTTATTTTTCAGATAACGTTAAAGGTGGTAAAATGTGGAGTCAATGTAGAGAAAAAGATACAGAATATCTTACAGATAAGAAGAAGCCCATTTACATCAAATATTTTAATTTGAAAAGAAACCATGTAACTCTTTCGATTAAAATAAAAAGAGGATAAAAAAATAAATAACTGTAACGAGTTCTCAATAATTGGTCATGTATACCCGAAGAGATAAGATAAAATACGCGAAGAAAGAACTACAAGAGTAATGACAGCAAAAAAAAAAGTATAGTAAGACGTATAATGATTATATGATGATGATCCTATATACTACGTAAAAGTAAATATATGTTCAATAAATAAAGGGAAAGAAGAGTGTAAATATACACAGTGAGTCAGTATACTATCTTATAAAAAATAAATAGTTAGGCCACGCTGTGCCAAGTCAGTAAGAAACATAGGCATGTACGACCCATGGCGTCAGCATATATATATAACGTACAAAAAAAGGGGTCTTGGTTGACGTAACAACGATAAAGAAAGAGGTGGGTCCAGAAATAAGATTTATTTTTAAACAATTCATAAACGACTATGAAAAATAACACACTTTATCAAAGAAATAGAGCAAAAAAAAAATTAATGTGTGGTTTAACAACTCCATAAAAGATTTGCACAACTCAGATATTCTTGTACTAATTTAAATATAGATATTTTTATTTAAATACTCTTTAGCAAGGTAATTGATATTTTTAATAAATTTCATCATTAAAAACCTTTAGGTTATTAGATAAATACAGAGAACAAAATAGTTGTTTTTTATCATGTCAGCAAATTTGGTTTTGAGATATTAACTTTCTTAATTATCAAAAAAATTTTGGATCTCAAATGCATGTTCAAGACAATTAACTGATAGTAATATTTCTTTCTGTAATTTATACTTTAGATTAAACATAATGTACTAATACTTGACGGACTTGACGGTTTCAACTAGTTTTAAGTGTTTATAGAGACAAATGTGCGATTTAGAAACCTCAAGGAAAATGTAGCTCTGCACTCGTAAATACACTTGTCTCTATTATCATATCTGTATTACACTTGAGTGTTCAGAGCCTTCAGTTGTTTGTAAGTACCTACACATTTACTCCATGACATACTGCAGCCATCAATTTGTCATTGTAATTACAATCAATATTTTAGTTACTCTTTTCATTTTTAAAATTACTATGTTTTTCTGTTGCAATTGACATTCCATATTGTAACTTAAGAAGGTTCGGTAGTGTTAGCGGGGGGAAATCTCAGAAAGGCAAAGGAAGGAAGAGCGTCTGGCAACGTTGTGAATTTTTTCGGCTGCTGGCACGTCGTCTACTGTTGTTGTCGTCTACTGCTGTTGTCGTCGTCTACTGATGACAGTGTACTTATTTCTTCAGTTGAATTTTTTATACCTAAATTTTCAATTACAAAAGGAGTTTTTACTATTCATTACATTTCAAAGCGCGCTCCAAAAGCAGCGTTGCCAAGTCGTCTGCTGCGAGCACATTTTTGCTGTTTTTTAATAGAAATTTGTGGTAGGGCTCTCTCAAACTTTGACAAAATATTATTTTGACAATATTCTTTCATTAAAAAAAAAAAAAGCAAGTTCATTTAGCCGTTTTTTTTTTAGTGTAAAATTTAAGTGATTTCTCCATAAGCCTACATGTTAAAATATTGTTTTTTCAGGTCAATATATCTTGAAAACGGTCTGGTTAAACCCTTCAAAAATTTAGCTGTAATTTAATACTATTATCCCAAACGACATATCAAAATTTAAAAAATTTTCATCATAAAAAATTATCACTACTGAACCTCCTTAATTCATGATAGCAACTGCAGTCATAAATGACATTTTATGTGTTTTATGTCCATTGTTGAATTAGATATTTAAAGGTCAGACAGAAAGGACATTTAGATAGCTAAAATTCTTTAAATTACTTTATACTGTACATTCTATGGATTAATTAAATTGTCTGAAAAAATTATATTTCATACATTTTCATACAAAAAATCGACCTTTAATTTATGGTTTACCTTTTTGTTGATTATTTATTTTTTAAATTTGACGCAAGGCAAACAGGATTTACAACTGAGGTAGTCTGGTGTCCTATTACCACTGATTTAATATTTTAAAAAACCGAACTAATATTCAAAAATAAATGTATCAGACATAAAAAAACATCAAAATCAAGGACATGATTAAAGTCTTCAGTAAGATAATCCAGATTTAATGTTCACAGACTAAATTAAATTTTCTTCATTGTATAGAAAATATCTGAGACTTATTATGAGTTTTGTAATGAAATAATTAATGATACGGGAACGAGTTGGAAAAGACGATTCAAGTTATCTTTAATTCTTTGTTATGTATACAAAATTACGTGAAAAATCAAAATGAGTGGTAAAATATCGTTACGATAGAAAAGAGTAAAGATCACTATACTCACTAAAAAAAAAATTATCCAACAATAAAAGATTAGAAGGGGTACTGGTAAGACATACTCAAAAGGTCCGTCTTAACACTGAGACAGTTTATTTTTTAAATGATAAAAAAATGTTAAGTTAGATGCCATATTCTAGATAACATTACTAAACTTTCCCGCAAACGTCAATTTTTTAGGCAGAATAATGATAAAAAATTATCCTTCTCAAAATTTAAAGCACCGAAAGCACCATTTGTGAGTTTAAAATCAAAATTATATGTATGCTTAAAAATCTTAAATGAAAAACTTGAAGAACTTAATTACTCTTATAATTGAACATAAAATATGCAGAAAACACATGAATGCACAAAACACAACATAACAAAAACAACTACCCATTAAATACACTGTTTTCGAATAGAATAACTGTATATGTGTAAAACAGAGATGATATAAAAAAGTTTGAACTATGTTTAATACCACCAATGATTGGCAATGAAAAATTTGTTTTAAGATAACTTTGAAAAGATGCATAATTTTTTGTAAGTATTTTTTGACGGAGTAACATTTCTTCTATGCTAAATAAAACATGTTTTTATTTTTTTTCATGGCAGAAATTATCGGGCTGAGTAAAGAATATTATTTTTTATACCATGGGCATACAGTAGAAAAATCTTGCCTGAAGGGGGTAAAATTCGCCCACAGGGTGCAAAGACATGACGCCCTTGGTAAGAAATATTTAAAAATATATACTTATAATTCCACAGAAACGTAAATATAAGTTTATAAAACTCGTAATGCTTGTTGAAAAAATTTACCTGAAGTACACTAAAACCATTGGGTAGATTCTCAACAATACTTATATTGTAAAAGTCAACCTCAAACTCCGGGAGATTATCGTTAAGATCGAGTAACTGAATCTCAACTTGAGCGCTGGAGACCCTTAACGGATTGTCAGTTTGGATGGCTTGTATCTGTAGCACGAACTTATTACCGTACAGATTACGCTCTGTATCGAGATCAATAGGTCGCTCAAGAAAAAGTGAACCATTATGCGGATCCAGATAAAACGTGTGTCTTTCGTTACCAGATAATATGACATAGCTCACTGGCTTATTGATTTGTCGATCCTGATCAATAGCTTGGATTGATGGTGTAAACTTGATTTCGTTGTGAATTATCTGACTCTGTACAGAAGTAGATAAAAAGTTTATGTATGTTCACAAATCAGTAAAATTAAATGTTAATTAATCTTATACGAATTAAAAAAGTCTATAAAATGATGATTGCAAAAAAAAATATTCTTACAGTTGTTGGAGGATTTTCAAAAATTGCAGTACGATACACGTCTTGAGTGAATTTAGGATTTAAGTCATCATTGTCTACTACAGTTATGATTAATGAAGTATTTGTACTCTTTGGTGGAGATCCTCTATCCTAGGAAAATAAAAAAATTTCTGACTCTCATTTCGTATTAAATAAACTACAGTCTTACTGTTAAATAAGGAAAATAATTATTATTTTCAACTTAGAGTAAAAATTATCACTTACAGATGCAGTTACAGTAAGATTGTACTTCTTGTCGCCATCATCATAATCTAATTGTTTTTTTAGAATAATCGCAGTTTTTTGCCCTGTTTCAAGAGAAAACTTGCCTTGTTCATTACCCTTGGTTATTGCGTAACGTACATCGCTATTCGGCGTATTTGGTTTATCTTTATCAAATGCAAAAATTCCTTCAAATATCGTAAGGCCTGTACAACAATATCACATATTAGTATTATTAAAAATTGTCATAATTTATTGCGGTAACACATTTATTTCAACTATTTTCTACACTGTTTGGGTATAATTTAATATGAATCAAACGTTGACATTAACATGTCTATAAATTAAGCCAAAACATTTAACATAATATCAAGTGAGGTCAGTATTTAGGGTATTAAATAATATTCAAAGTTAAATATAGGTAACATAGGTTATTTTGTTTGTTAAATAACTGATACTGTTTAACATCAAATATTGAAGAATAATTATAATTTATCAAATATTTCCAATGTTGCAATGCTTTCAACTACAGTGGGAATAGATAATGCGATTATTACTTCACAAATTAATATAATGTTACAATAAACATACATTTTATTATTACTTTTAAACAGGTCTAGTTTTATTGAATTTTCTTTCATGTAAGGTTAAACATTAGGTATTTTTATTTAAGAAAAATTCGAAAGTTACACTTCATGCGTTCCTCCTTTCCCTTAATTCCATCACTACTGACCCCTACATTACTTTGTTAAATAAGTAAATTAAGATAGAAAATGTTTATACAATCATGTATGTCGGCTCGGACATTGCCTCCCATGGGTTTTGAAGATTGTTTATTACGAATTTGAAGTCATGTATTTGAGTGCATGAATAGTTTTAATCTCTAAAAGTACCCCTTGGTAAAAGAAAATAAAATAATGCATTATTTTACCTTAGAGATTATCTTTCGGGGTTATAAAATCAATAGTACTTTAAGCTATTAAGTGAGCAAGGACAAGAATATCTTAGATTTTACGTAATTTACGTGAAAGGTAATGCATTTTTTAACCTCTGAACATATTGCGTATACTATTATTTTTTACCAATTCTGCGCTGGAAGAAAGAATTTTCGTTCCGCTTCGCAGGAGTTCCCTCATTCAGCGCAGTGTAGTGGAAAATTTTTTCAGCCATCATGCAATAAATTCAAATTTTTCGTGAACGTATGTTTCGGGATAATTTTATACTTACCCTATAAAAATACCTTTTAACAAAACAAAAAGGTTGGATAAATTTAATATGTTGTTAAGTTAATATTTTAATGTAAGGAGTTGCCGAAGCCTTTATACGCTGGCCATGAATAGTATTCTTCCTAATAAATCTGTAGCCTTGAAAAGTTCTAAAATCCAAACAAAAAGACGGTCGAGTTTTTTTTGCGCAGTACACATTTTATGTGACACTCGTGTTATAATACTGTTCAATACTCGTACTTTAACAAAATCAAACTAAATAATATTGACTTTTGACTGGTACTCCATGGAAACCTCACATTAAATACAATAACGCCTCGCGATGTCGAAAGTATGTAAAAATATAAAGGCATAATTTTAATCCATTTAAAAAAAGGTTTATTTACAGAACTTATCAAAAGTCAACGTTTTTATGCTTGGATTTCAGAACTTTACAAAGCTACAGATTCGTTCGGAAGAATACCATTCATTGCCAGCATATGAAAGCTTTATTGCTTAAGTAAAGGTCTATAACAGTACATTTCACCTAGTTGGTGACAATTTGTTTAAAAATACTGATAGTAGAAATGAAACTATACCACACAATTTGAGGTATGCTTTCACATCACTAATCGAAGACATTCATGTAAAGAAATAAACCACTAACTGCAATAGGTAGGTTATTTCTAGCATTCACAGTATTACCAGTGTCATGAATTCTTAGCTCCTTGGCTCTTCATGTAAAAAGTTTTTTTATGGTTACTTTGTAACAGTATACAGAAAATTTGTCAAGAAAAATATAAATACATTTTTAATTCTCTTGGCAACTGTGTTTCTTATGCATGAAACACTAATTTACGAAACATCTGTTTCGAAATTTAATGATATAAAACCAAGAAACGGTGCATTTGCTCAACACGTTTAAGATAATTGTAATTTTGACACTAATAATATTAATAACTTCAGCAAGTTTAATAAAAGAATCTGTTCTGTTATCTAAAATACCAGAACCGGAAGGAAATATTGTACAAAAAGTGACTAATTCTATTTCAGCAGTTCTTGAGTAGGATTGAGATTACAACTAATGATTAAAAATACCTAAAGATAACACCTTTAACTTTGTAGATATTTCCCATACCAAAGTACAATAATATAATTTCTACTGCGACTAATATAGAAAACTCACTACTTCTAACCGATTCATTGCCTGTCATTCAAAATATCCTTTATTTTTTCGAATCAGATTACTTATAATTTTCTCTTATTGATGTTGCACAAATGTTTTCACCGCAAAAACATTGATGCTACTGTAAAGATCCTGCCAGCAAATGATTTCACGCAATTATTTGTCGATTAACATCAGAAAACCAAACTCTGTTAACACAAATCTAAAGTGGGAGTAGTAAAAATAACTAAAAACTTTTTATTTACAAAATAAAATCAAAACAGTTTTGTCGTACCTGCGTCAGTACAACATTTACTGTGTATCTACTATGAAAATAAAAGCAACTGCTTTACTGTTTGCGGGGATAAGAAAAACACACATGGCTGGAAGTAAAGAAGCCTCTAATTGTCCGTTGACGAACAATCAATTATGTATAACGCACTTTGCGTGATCCGACTTATTGTGACAACGTTCATTCTCAGTTTTATCATTTAATAAGCTCGCCATACTACTAAAGGATACCACAATTTAGCCATTATTAAGTATTTCTAGACGTATACATAAATACTCTAAATCTTTCTCTTGCAATATTTGTGTTTCCATTAATCACACAAATTTTTTTTTTAAGACAACTGATAACTCAAATGCTATATCGTCACAGAAATAAGTAAATAATTATTTATAAGTATGTTTTCTAATGAAAAATGTATGGGAAATAGTATGATTGATGAAAGGAACATTGGAAAATTACGTATTATTTTATTTCGTCCTAACTTGAATCAAATATAATTTTTCTTGTGGAATGTAATTTAATGCAATTGATCTTTGAAAAATCTGACCAAACAATGCACACGGTCAGTGTCACCCAATTACACAACTAATAAAAACGCATCAGTCACTTGTTAATCAATCTTTTAAGATGAGATAGATATATTCTTTACTTTTTTGGCTTAGGTTTCCTAGTAGCAAGTTGTAAGTTTTGAGAAGTCGCACATCCCGCGCACTTTTTATGTGAGTGCGTAAAAATTGAGTAAGAAGTGTGCAGATTTGCTTTTTAAAACTAATGATCTGTTACAAGTGTTTAGAATATACTGTTAAAAACTATTGAATGAACGTAAGAATAGCAAGGGTGGAGAGCAAAAACTTAATCTTGAGAATTAAAGATTAATCTTTTTGACTGGTTATTTCAACCACGCATGCACTGTACCTTCAGTGCATGTGCAGTTGACGGAAATTAGTTATAAAGATGAAGATGCACTTAACGTTTTTAAAATTAAGTCCCTGGTTGTCAGTTGACACACAAGATAATTCAATCACACATTCAGTTTTCAAGACATCAAAGTTTTGGATGTTGATAGCAATCGACGAAAAAGGTTAGTACCAGAAATCCAATAGATAAATGAAATCACAATTAGTTATACTTTCATACTTTTTTTTGTTACGTATGCACAATTTCATACTACAGATTAAACCATTTTTTTAAATGTTAATTATTTTTATTTGTGTTTTTTTTATGTACCTGACAAGGTTGATGTTTAGACTATCAAATCGTCGCTGAAAATTGAAAATATTTTTTCATCATACTGCACCGAATGTAGGAACTCCGGAACGCTTTGCGGGACGAAAATCCCTTCTCTCAGTGCAGGATTGGTAAAAAATAGAATGCACACCTAGTGAGCGAAGTTAAGAAATGCATGTACCTATACGCATGTTGTGCCTACATACATATTTCTTCAATTGGTTTAAATTCAAATTTATTTTACACTAGACAGACAATTTTACATTCATCCTATAACTGTTACTGGTATTACTGAATATTGCTATTTGAAGTTATATAAGACCAAATAAAATGAACAAACTATTACTATACCTGTAGCTGAAAGTTCTTCAACTGCAACATTATACGGAGCATCGTAAAATTGGGGTGCATGATCGTTTACATCTTCTACATAAACATTGACAGATAAATGCGATGATACCTAAAATAAAATAAACCAAATTAAAATAGATACACGTGATTTCAGATAGACGTAATAAATTTCTTCGTATTGGTAAATTAAATATTTTTTAATGTTTTTCTCACGATTTTAAACATTGACTAAAAACTAATGTACTCAATAAAAAAATTAGTGTTTTTCTCTCAAATAAATTTTTTTACATTGTAAAACATCAACACTATTTTCCTCAAAGAGTATCATGATAAAAAGTAATGAAATAAATTGTAAAAATTCATAAAAATATTGTAATACATAACCCTGCGGACAATGATAGCTTCACGGCTTCTTTTTACGATAAAAGTTATCTCCAGTAATTATCTCGTGAAGTTTCTCCAATAGTCTGTTTGATTTACTTTCAAGATCCGTTGAAAAAAAATTTTTATCTTCTACCATTAAAAAGTTATATTTATTTCAAAACATGGCTTCTAGGGGACATGATGGGCACCGCGCTTGAGGCACAATGAGCCTGAGAACTCTGCGTCTGCAGCAGACGCTGTCATTCTGTTCGAATCCAAACAAAGCTGATTAACTTAACATTAGTCTTAGCTTTGAATTTCTTTAGTCTGTCTTATTTTATAAGTAATTAAGTTTAACTGTGGATCGTGACTTGACTAAAAATAAGAATGGTGCGACGATACAAAAAGAAGATGGAGAGAAATATTCATAATACTCATATCGAATTTTCAAAATATTACACAAAGTGATTTTTTGGTAAATTCAGTTGCTATGAATCCTATAAATTTCAGTTATTTTTTCCTACAACCTTTAACTGGCAAGACTGAAGAGGTTTTTTACGCATATATTTCATTTTAATGAAGCTTTATTTTTATAATATTAGAGTGCAACATTGGTGTGATATTGTCATACAGTTATTTGTACTAAATACAAAATTTATGAGATTAAGGCAAGATGTTTGTGGTATTAAAATAACTTATCTAACAGATTGTAACGTAACTTGTGATATTACATTTAATGTACAATGATTTAACAAATAAATGTTTCATGTTTCTAAAATAAATTTTTTATGTTTGTTAAATATCATTAAAAATTAATTAATATAAATACTGTTGTTCACCTACCATCGAATTATTTCAATCATCTGGCGCTCATCGTACCCTACAGCTATGTTCACTGTGCCCGCAACGGGGCAGAATGAGCATTTTTAAGAACTGTATTTGACTATATGATAACTAATTATTTATTGATTTATATATTTTTTATTTCGGGTAGTCTTATTCCATTTGTCACGCTCTGAATGATGCTCAGCTGGAGAATTATATTTAAGGTGGAAAAAAATTGTAAGAGTGTAATAAATAATGGGTGCCCGTCATGCCCTACTATCCCTTACTGCAGTTGTCAATACGATTTATGACCAAACAAAAATGTTCGCTTAATATGTATAGTGTTTATGGTTATTTATAATTATTATATCGTAGCTAATAATTTGAATTTGATGTTGTACACAGAAGAAATAAAAAATTAATAATCAAAGATCAAATAGTCCATAAATAAATATTAGATTTTTTCAAAAATGCGGTTCTGAATTTTTATCATTAAAACGGTTCTTATGATTTGATAATCTTAAATTTTTCAAGGAGATGAATTTTGCTAGTAAATTAAAAGTAATGAAGGTTGCGTTCGATTTAGTCATCGGTTCGTACCTTGTTCGTACCAAATCGTACCGTACTACTACTATGTATGAATAGTTTTTCATGCGAAATATAACTTCTTAAAGTAAGTTTCACCAACGGATAATTATTACTAATTAATTATTGTTTTTTTTATAATTAATAATAAATAGCTGAGGATCCAGATAAGGTATAACAGTGAATCATTATTATTCAAAGCGTGATAGTAAACAGAAACGTAGTTGGCCAGTGGAAGCATTCAGAATGTCTGTAGTTGTACCTACGTGTAACGAATATTCACCAACATGTATGGATATACATGCATTCATATAATGTATATACATTATCTCGCATATATGCGTGTGTGTGGGTGTGTGTGTGTATTTATTGTAATGTTAATACATGTATATGTCAAATATATTCGCCATGTATTTTGATGGAAAAAGTCCAGAAACCTAATGCACCACTTATTTTAAATGTATATAGGGGAATCATTATGAAAAGGCGAAAATATTAGTTACTAAATAATTTTGATATTAAAATTAAAAAATAACTATGACATGTTTGGGAAATCAACCTTAACGTGTATCTATTAATTAGGATTAAATGAAAGCGGGTAGGCGTTTGTGTGCCAGCACATAAATTGCAAAGAGCAAGGCGTGTGTATGTCGAGGTTACTTCAGTACCTTCAAGTTTCGCTTAGTTCCAAACGATCCGTTACACTGTAATGGGGCGTAATTACACGCAATTTTTAAAAAATCAATAATTTAATTAAAAAAATAGAGGTATGTATTTTGTGATCAGTCAAAAACGAATACACTTATTATATCGTTAATAATTTTCAACCCATTGAAATTTTAATTAAGATAAGAATACTGGCGTTTTCTTTTGAAATTTTTGAGGTAAGCATTACTTAAATAAAAAACGTGTGCTGAGGCAAAGTGGGTTGCTTAATAGGTATCCGATTTGCACTGATATCATGTGTTACTTATTTTCTTGAATTTTTTTTAGGCGGTGAGTAAATGTGAGAAAAAAACAGAGCTATTTACGTCACAAATAAGACACTTGCTTAAGAAATTTTTTAAATGTTGTTTACTATTTTCAAAATTTCAAGCTACCGATTCAATAGTCGTTTGGATCTAAGTATATCAATATTTTTATAAGCAAGTCTCTTAAACTATGGAAGGGAGATTAAATCATATTAAAATAACCATTTTAGTAATTATTTAAATCATGTTTCTCTTCATTGCAGTGCCTTTTTACTTTGCCAGAACGGATAATCCGCTTTAGCCCCCCACCTCTAGAGCAAAGCGATTTTTTCAAGGGTCTTTTTATTTTTAATAATAGAGCAGAAATGAAAAGACAATAATCCAGTGTATCTTATTTATTTCATAGTTCTACGTGTCTTCTATAAAAAAAAAAATAGAATTGATCATTATCATAATCCAAATACTGAATTTTCTGAAACTTACCCCTTAACTACATTAGGCCACCTTCCCCTATGTGACAACTTTCACACAGAGTTTTACGGATACACGAATACATACATACATACATCAGGGCTGGCAGGCACTAGCGCTATTTGGATTGAGCTTTCATTGTACATTTATCTTTATAACAGGATTCTTTACACTTACACCATTCTTGATTGCAGCTTTTGTGGTTTCCAGAAGCATGAGGTACAACAGTTAACAATGTTTTTTTAATTTTTTGTTTACCTATCCTTTATTTTGTTCGATAAAAGTGTAAGTAATTTGAAGAGTGTTCAATGACAGAGTGAGGTAATTTCATTAATAATAAGATATTCCTGAAGTTTTCATATACGTGATTATAGTCAGACTACTTTTAAATTTCGTAACTTTCCTGATCGAATAAAGGATTATTCACGAACAGCTCAACAGCCATGATATGCTGGGTCATATCGCTTTTGATGAACTGTTAAAATTTAATCGACAACTGTGATCACCAGGATTGTGTCCCATTTTGCAAAGCCTTACCTAACGGCGTATGATAATATTTTACCAGAATTGCATACAATAGCGATTTCATGTCTGATGATTGAACATGAAAAATTTAAGCCAGAGTTAAAGGCTGCAATTTTTCAATTTTGTATAGATGTCCTGTACACTAGATCGTACTTCATAAGCCATTAAGAGGTTTTCCAGTGCCTCTTTTTGCCAGCGATAGCTAAATGAAGTTTTCAAGTAAATATTCTTAGACAAAACGGAACATTAACTTTCAAGTTCAATAAACATTACTGTACACTGATACTACAATCCTCCTGTATTATCTTGTACACTTATCCACTCTCACCCACTGTCTATTTATGAATTGTTGATGAATGAATTGTTGCATAGCGTGGTGCACACAACAATATAGAAGACAGTTTACATGGAGTTAAAAAAAAATATGGAAACTTATAAGTAAAAATGAGTTTATACAGAATAATCCTCAAACTATACAACAAAGTTTTGCATCGAAATTCTTACGCTTATATTGCAAATAATTAAGTATAAATCACTTTAACTCTACCAAAATCACCCACAAAAAAAAGTACAATTATCGAAGGTATACGAAACTATAAACAACAAGCACTGCCATATTGCTGTGACAAAGCTCATCAATGTATTACCGAATGATATTAGAAATAATTTTTACATTTACGATCTGCCAGTGAGCACCAACCCTTTAGAAAACATATTATAAAATTTAAAATTTTTAAATCAGGGGGGTTCGTTATACAAAAATAGAGATCGAATTACGAACAAGCGATGGGTAATTAAGAAGAAAAAAGATTTGAATCGGAGAGTGCTACGATTAACAATTATGTTATGAAACCTCTCGGTGTTGTTTGGGACGTAAAGACAGATAAGATAAATTATAACCTACAGCCTACGAATTAAAAAATAAAAAATAAAAAATTTGCTGAGACCCATCATTTTATTGGCAAAGGTTCTTATACAGGATTACTGTGTTACGTGGGAAAACCGAAAGGTAAGGAGGTGCTTCGCGAGAATGATCAAAACCTTGGAACCTTAAAGACTTTTATTCAAGATACTTATTTATAAGGCAAAGACGCGTGTGTGTTCCCGATTAATTGCCCGATATCTCCGAGTGTTCCCCTTGTTCTCCTCGTCTGTCCGAGTCTTCTCTTCGTTCTCCTCGTCTGTCCGAGTCTTCTCTTCGTTCTCCTCGTCTGTCCGAGTCTTCTCTTCGTTCCCCTCGTCTGTCCGAGTCTTCTCTTCGTTCCCCTCGTCTGTCCGAGTCTTCTCTTCGTTCCTCGGATTTTGAAGCTTGCCGGGCCTTATATTACCTCGTTCCCCTCCCGTCGGTACCCTCTTGATAAGGTAGCTC